CTCGAATCAAAGCCGCTCACTTTGGCGGCGCCCCCGCAAGCCCCCCCCTGGCGACAAGGATTCTGCAAGCTGGTGCCAGCGGATGCAATCAAAAGCCTTCTTGTTTGCTTAGGCTATTAAGCATTCTGATTGAGCATTCTTGCAGGGAGCAGCGTATGTATAAGGCAAGTAAGGGGGCAAAAAGTAGGCTGCAGAGCAAGAATGCTTTTTCAAAAGATACATGTGACTTCAGACTTGCCTCTCTTTCAAAGCGCATGGCTCCAGCCATCTCTTCGAAGCGAGTCTTCCACATGTTGTCGAAGTCCAGCTCCAAACGAATCGCCGGGAAGAAGCGAATGAACTGCGTCAGGCCCCGGAGCTCGCTTCGGGTGAAACACATGTGTTTCCATGTGTTTGCTTCGGCCTGGCATATCACTGCCACGCAGGAAATACACCTGATATGACGGATTTTGCGAGTGCATGAAAGCCGTTCAAATTGATCTAAGAGAGCGACGGAAAATGTGAGACATAAAGCCGCAGCCATCCACTGCAATCATCGCTTGCCTCGAAACAAATTACACCACCGTAGACCCCAAACAGGTAGGACAACAACGAAGCATTCCCAAGTTCACTTATTGAACATCAACAAGAAGGGAGACACAAGGAAACAGAAGAGAGACAAGACGGACACAATGGCCAACAAGAAAGGAGACAAGAAGGGAGTAAAAAGGAAACAGAAGGGAGACAAGACGGACACAATGACAAACAAGAACGGAGACAAGAAGGGAAACATTATACCGGCATAGACCCCAGATAGCACTTCAGGAAAAGTTGGACACCATGGCAAGAGCGGGAGACAAGCTTGGGAGACATCCCACTCAAAGCCGGGGAAAGGATGGAAAGGTAAACAAGACCTAAATCATCTTATAACAGCATCCGCGTCAAAGGCAGGCAAGAAAATGACAAGGCGGCAGCGGCAGCCAAGAGCGAAATCAAGAAGGGAGACAAGCTTGGCAAGCACGGCGGCAGCGGCAGCCAAGAGCGAAATCAAGAAGGGAGACAAGCTTGGGAGACAAGGCGGCAGCGGCAGCCAAGAGCGAAGTCAGGAAGGGAGACAAGCTTGGGAGACAAGCTGGCAGCGACAGCCAAGACCGAAATCATGAAGGGAGACAAGCTTGGGAAACAAGGCGGCAGCGGCAGCCAAGAGCGAAGTTATGAAGGGAGACAAGCTTGGGGAGACAAGCCGGCAGCGGCAGCCAAGAGCGAAATCATGAAAGAAAAAGTTTGGGAGACCAGGTGGCAGCGGCAGCCAAGAGCGAAGTCATGAAGGGAGACAAGCTTGAGAAACAAGACGGCAGCGGCAGCCAAGAGCGAATCATGAAGGGAGACAAGCTTGGGAGACAAGCCTGCAGCGAACGCAAGGCGGACACAATGACCAACAAAAAGGGAAACAAGAACGGAAACAAAAGGAAACATGGCCAGCGGAAAAGGGCGGACGCCAGCAGTGACAGACCTGGGAGACAAATGAATAGAAATGCTACATAGCCAGCGGAAAAGGGCGGACACCAGCAGTGACAGACCTGGGAGACAAATGAATAGACATGCCCAGCGGAAAAGGGCGGACACCAGCAGTGACAGACCTGGGAGACAAGTGAATAGAAATGCTACATGGCCAGCGGAAAAAGGGCGGACACCAGCAGTGACAGACCTGGGAACAAGTGAATAGAAACGTTGCATCGCCAGCGGAAAAGGGCGGACGCCAGCAGGGACAGACCTGGGAAACAAATGAATAGAAATGCTACATGGCCAGCGGAAAAGTGCAAAAACCAGCAGTGACAGGCCTGGGAGGCATATGAATAGAAATGCTGCGTGGCCAGCGGAAAAGGGCGGACACCAGCAGCGACAGACCTGGGAGTGACAGACCTGGGAGACAAATGAATAGACATGCTACATGGCCAGCGGAAAAGGGCGGACCTGGGAGACAAATGAATAGAAATGCTACAT